TCTGTAAGTGTATTAAACCACCTTTTTGATGTGCCTTTATTTTTTTTAATGTTTATTTATTTATTTTGAGAGAGAGTGAGGGAGCAGGGGAGGGGCAGAGAGACAGGGAGAGAGAGAGAGAATCCTAATACCGGACTTGAACCTACCAACCATGAGATCATGACCTGAGCCAAAACCAAGAGTTGGATGCTTAACTGACTGAGCCACCCAGGTGCCCCTCTGATGTACCTTTAAAGTTAATCTGGGAAAATGTCGATGAAACACTGCTTTCGGGTATGTGGGATATATTGTCTAATTAGCAGCAAATTGGGACATTACTGGGAGTGCTCTATTCCCAGTTTCAGCAGTTAATTCAAGTGTCAGGGATGGCATTTTTATATTAGACTGTATCAGGACAAGAAATGTTTCTGAAAACATCAGCATTATTATGGTTTTTTTATTTTTTTTAACGTTTATTTATTTTTTGGGGACAGAGAGAGACAGAGCGTGAACGGGGGAGGGGCAGAGAGAGAGGGAGACACAGAATTGGAAACAGGCTCCAGGCTCTGAGCCATCAGCCCAGAGCCCGACGCGGGGCTCGAACTCACGGACCGCGAGATTGTGACCTGGCTGAAGTCGGACGCTTAACCGACTGCGCCACCCAGGCGCCCCTATTATGGTTTTATGTAACCACAGTTGATAAGCCTGGATATGTTTTCTTCTAGAAATATTTATTTTTTTAAAAAGCAAGGTTTGGGGCGCCTGGGTGGCGCAGCGGTTAAGCGTCCGACTTCAGCCAGGTCACGATCTCGCGGTCCATGGGTTCGAGCCCCGCGTCGGGCTCTGGGCTGATGGCTCAGAGCCTGGAGCCTGTTTCCGATTCTGTGTCTCCTTCTCTCTCTGCCCCTCCCCCGTTCATGCTCTGTCTCTCTCTGTCCCAAAAATAAATAAAACGTTGAAAAAAAATTTTTTTTAAAAATAAAAAGCAAGGTTTGCATTTTTGAAGTTTTGATAATCCTTGTGAAATAATGTTAAGATGGTTACTGAAACAAAAGCTGCTGTCTATCAGCAATATGAGAGAAGTTTAAATTACATAGCTGATTAAGCTTACTTTAGTTGGAAAGAAACATTTCTCTGCCTTTTACAATTACCAGATGATTTATTTACTTTTTCTTTCTTTTTTTGGTAACAGCTTTATTGAGATATATATAATTCACATACATTTTACCTGTTTAAATGGTACAGTCCAGTAGACTATATTAATAGAGTTGTGCAATCATCTCTACTCTGTAATTGCGAACATTTTCATCACCTCTGAAAGAAGCCCTGTACCCTTTAGCTGTCACCCCACCTCCCTCCTTTCCACTGAGCTCATCTCATTATATATTTACCTGTTATGGACATTTCATATAAAAATTTTTTTTAATCATTATTTATTTTTGAGAGAGTGAGAGAGAGACAGAGTGAGAGCAGGGGAGGAGCAGAGAGAGAGGGAGATACAGAATCCGAAGCAACTCCAGGCCCCGAGCTGTCAGCACAGAGCCCGACATGGGGCTCAAACCCATGAACCGTGAGATCATGACCTGAGCCGAAGTCGGATGCCCAACCGACTGAGCCATCCAAGCGCCCCCTGGACATTTCATATAAATGGAGTCTTACAGTATGTGGTCTTAAAATTTTTTTTTACTTACTTATTTTGAGAGAGAGAGAGAACACGAGCAGGGGAGGGACAGAGAGAGGGAGAGAGAGAATCCCAAGCAGGCTCTGTGCTTTCAGAGATGTGTCTCAGTCTCATGCACTATCAGATCATGACATGAGCCAAAATCAAGAGTCAGAGGCTTAACCGACTGAGCCACCCAGGCGCCCCAATATGTGGTCTTTTGTGACTGATTCCTTTTGCTTAGCATCGTGTATTTCGGGGTGTCTCTGTGTTTTGTTCCTTTCTGTTCCAGATAACATTCTGTGACACGGATAGTCCACTTGTTTATTCACTCAGCTGTTGGTGGATGTGTGGGTTGTTTCCACCTTTTGGCCGTTGTGAAGAATGCTGCTGTGAACATTAATGCACCAACTTTTATGTGGACATACGTTTTTCATTTCCCTTGGGTGTATGCCTGGGAGTAGAATTGCTGGATCATTCGGTAACTCCGTGCTTAACATTTTGAGGAACTGCCGGATTGTTTTCCATAGAAGCGCGTAAAGGTTCCAGTTTCTCCATATCCTTACCAACAATTGGTATTGTTTGTCTCTTAAATTCTAGTCGTCCTAGTTGGCATGAAGTGGTCTCTCATTTTAGTGCAAGTGAGCAAGGAGCAGAGCGAGAGAGAGAAGTGGGGTTCATCTGGGGCTTGTGATTTTTACCCGATGCGGGGCTCGAGCTCACCAGCTGTGAGATTGTGACCTGAGCTGAAGTCACAGGCTTAATGACTGAGCCACCCAGGCGCCCTCTCATTTTAGTTTTGATTTACTTTTTTCCTAAAGGCCAATGGTGTTGAGCATCCTTTCTTGTGTTTATTGGCCATTGCTATGTCTTCTTTGGAGAAATATCTGTTCTTTTGTCCATTTTTAAATTGTGTTGTCTTTGTTGAGTTGTAAGAGTTCTTTATATATTCTGGATATTCAGCCTTTATCAAATGTATAATTTGCAAATAGTTTCCTTTATACTGTGGGTTGTCATTTCACATTCTTGATAGTTTCCTTTGAGGCACAGAAGTTTTTTTTTTTTTAATTTTTTAAAAATGTTTATTTATTTTTGAGAGACAGAGAGAGAGAGAGAGAGAGAGAGAGAGAGAGAGAGAGAGAGACAAAGCATGAGTGGGGGAGGAGCAGAGAGAGAGGGAGACACAGAATCCGAAGCAGGCTCCAGGCTCCGAGCTGTCAGCACACAGCCCATCACGGGGCTTGAACCTGCCAGCCGTGAGATCATGACCCAAACTGAAGTCGGACACCCAACCAGGACTGAGCCACCCAGGCGCCCCATGGCACAAAAGTTTTTAATTTTGATGAAGTTTAGTTTAACTTCCCTTTTGTTGCTTTTGGTGTCATAACCAAGAATCCATTGCCAAATCCAAGGTCACAAAGATTTATACCTGTGTTTTCTTCTAAGAGATTTGTAGCTTCAGATCTTACCTTTAGGTCTTTGATCCATTTTGAGTCAATTTTTGTATATGGTATGAGATAGGGGACCACATTCTTTCTCTCGCATGTTGGTGTCCTGTTTTCTCAGCACCATTTGTTGAAGAGTCTGTTCTTTCCCCCCATGGAATAGTCTTGTCTCCTTGTCACAATCATTTGATAAATGTATTGGTTTAATTCTGGGCTCTCAGTTGTGTCCTGTTGATATTTATGCCTATCCTTATGCCAGTACCAACTGTGTCTTGATTACTGTTGCTTTGTAGTAAGTTTTGAATTCAGGAAGTATGATGCCTCCAACTTTGTTCTTTTTCAAGATTGTTTTGACTCTTTTGGGTTCCTTGAATTTCCATTTGAATTTTAGCATCAACTTGTCAATTTCTATAAAGAAGCCATCTGGGATTCTGACAGGGATTGCGTCAAATCTGTAGATTAATTTGGGGAGTATTGCTGTTTTAACAATATAAGTCTTCTATCTATGAACATAATGTTTTTCCATTTATCTAGGTCTTTTAAAATTTTTTTCAAAAATATTTTGTAGTTTTCATGGGGCATCTGGCTGGCTCAGTCAGAAGAGCATGCAGGTCTTGATCTCAGGGTCGTGAGTTCAAGTAGAGACTACTTAAGTAAATAAACTTAAAAAAATTTTTGTAGTTTTCAGAGTTTAACCTTTTCATATTGGTAAAATACATAAGATAAAATTTTCCATTTTAACATTTTAAGTGTTTATTTGGTTGCATTAATTGTATTCACAAAACAAAATATAAAGTTTGCACTTATTTTGTTAAATTATTCCTAAGTTTTTTTTTAATGCTATCGTAGATGGAATTGTTTTCTTAATCTCATTTTCAGATTGTTCATTGTAAACGTATACAGATACAATTGAACTTTTTATATTGAGCCCGTATCCTGCAAAATTGCTGAACTCATTTATTCTAATAGTTTTTAGTGGATTCCTTAGGATTTTTATACATAAACTCATGTCACTTGTGAATAGAGATAGTTTTGCTTCTTCCTTTCCAGGCTGGATGTTACTTCTTTCTGTTGCCTAATTGCCCTGGCTAGAACCTCCAGCACAATGTAGAATAGAAGTGGTAAGAGTGGAAATTCTTGACAAAACGTCTGAGTCTTCCTCCATTAAGTTTGGTTTTAGCTGTGAGGTGTTTTTTTTTTCTTTTAGGTTTATTTATTTTGAGAGAGAAAGAGCGCGCGCGCACGCACACACACACACACACACACACACACACACACACGCGCATGGGGGAGGGGCAGAGAGAGACAGAGGGAGAGAGACAATCCCAAGCAGGCTCTGTGCTATCAGTGCAGAGCCCGACATGAGGCTCAATCTCCCAAACCACGAGATCATGACCTGAGCCGAAATCAAGAGTCAGATGCTTACTTGCTTGAGCCACCCAGGGGCCCCAAACTGTGAGTTTTCATCAATGCCCTTTATCAGGTGGAGGAAGTTTCCTTCTATTCTAGTTCGTTGAGTGTTTTTTCCATAAAAGGGTGTTGGATTTTGTCAATTACTTTTTCTGGGTCCATTGAGATAATAAGGTGGCTTTTGTTTCTCATTCTGTTGATGTATAGTGTATTACATTAACTGATTTTTGTATGTTGAACCAACCTTATGTTCTTGGGATAAATTCCACTTGGTCATGGTGCATGATTGTTTTTCAGTGTTGGCTGGATTTGGTTTACTAGTAGTTTGTTGAGGATCTTTACGTGAATAATCAAAAGAAATACTGGTTTGCAGTTTTTTTCTTTCCTTGAATGTCTTTGGTTTTGCCATCAGGGTAGTACTGGCCTTATAGAATGAGTTAGGAAATATTCTCTCTTCAGTTTTGTTTTTTTGTTTTTGTTTTTGTTTTTTTTGGTGAGAGTGTGAAAATTTTGTATTAATTCTTTAAATGTTTGATAGAATTCACCTGGAAATCTATCTGAGCTTTTCTTTGTGGTTAGTTTTTTGACTATTGGTTCAACCCCTGTACTTGGTATAGATCTATTCACACTTTCTCTTTCTTCATGAGTCAGTTTGGTAATTTTTATCTTTTTCAGGAATTTGTCCATTTTATCTAGATTAAATTTGTTGGCATAGAGTCTGTTCATAGCATTTCTTAATCCTTTTATTTCTCTAAGATCTGTAGTAATGCCTCCTCTTTCATTTCAATTTTAGCAATTTGAGTCTTCTCTTTTTTCTTGGCCATCCTTAAAAATGGTTAAAATGGCAAGTTTCAGGTTTCACCAACAATAAAAAAGTAACTGCAAGTAAAAGTAATTTAGATCCATCTATGCTGTTAGTTTTTTCTGCGCCCTGTACGGTATTTTATTCATGTATCACAGTTTATTCGTTCACTCTGGATGGCCATCTGGATTGGCCAGTTTTGGGGCTATTAATGAAGAGTTCTACTGGAAACTGCTTTGGTTTTTAAATTCCCCAGAGTTTCTTTGACTCCAATGCATCTATCATAAGTCAATTTTTCTTTAAAAATTCCTTTACGAACATTTTTTTAGTTACTTTTTGGTAACCTTGAACTCTACTAGTTTGTGGAGGGTGGTCATGGATGTTCCAAGTTACAGTTCTTTGTGATTTAGGATTGCCCCTGGTGCCAAGTATTAAAAATCTCAGAACATAAATCACAAAACTTATATTAGGCCAGTGCTATTATTATTTGAAATCGTTTTAAAATTATAAAAATAACATGTGTTCATGATTTAATAAATTGAAACAGTGCAGAATGGTATGCCATAGAAAGTAAAAGTCTTTCTCCTAATTTATAGAAGTTTTTAAGATTTACTTTTAAATTTTAGAGCATATTTTAGACTTCCCACTAAAATTGAATATTGATTTGAAAGGATTTTTAATATCAGAATATATTTCTATTCATAGTTTTAAAATTTTCATGAGAAATTAATGTTGAAATATGGTAATTACATATATCAAGAGGGTTGTGAGTTTTGTCTTAGATAGGCTTAGTTTTTATTGTTTATATTAATCTATATAACGCTAGTGAATCATTCATGCATTCCCAGGATGGAGTAAAGTACACTTAGCCATGGCGTTGTTTTTTTTTTCCCATAACTGCACAGCCGAACCTGTCGTGCTCATGTTTTATTAGTTTTAAATTTATATTCCCAACTGTAAGGGGGGGAATCTGTAGTTAGTGGACTCGTGTATAAAATAACTTAATTGCTTTCATTTTCTTTTGTCTGTGACCTCATTTTTAAATGAATTTTCACTAAAGAGTTAATTAGGGGAATTACCAGTTTTATGTTGTCAAAGCTTATGGCATTTATGTCCTGTTCTGTGACTATAATGAAGCCTTCCTTGTTTTGTCTAAGTTGGTTCTAAGAATTGGAAGCTAATAAATGGCATTTACAGTACAGGCATACCTTATTTTATTGCACTTCACTTTATTACGCTTCACAGATACTGCATTTTTTACAAATTGAAGGTTCGTGGCAGCCCTGTGTCAAAACTAGTCCGTCAGCACCATTTTGTTACAGCAATTTGCTCACTTCATGCCTCTGTCACATTTTGCTAATTCCTGCAGTATTTCAAACTTTTTCATGATTATTGTATTTGAGTTACTGCAGTTGCATGGTAAAACTTTAATGGATGAGGAGTTGCTTCTGATGGGTGAGCAAAGAACGTGGAACGTGGACTCTTGAGATGGAATCTGTTGCTGGTGGAGATGCCACGAAGATTGTTGACATGACAACAGAGGACGTAGCCGATCACATAAACTTAGCTTGATGACGCGGCTGCAGGGTTTGAGAGGCCGGGCTCCCATTTTCAAAGAAGTTCTCCTGTGGGCCAAATGCTATCAGAGACCATCGCAGGCTACAGAGAAGTTGTTCGTGACCGAGAGTCCATCCCTGTGGCAGACTTCATTGTTGTCTTGTTTTCAGAAGTCCCCACGGCCTCCCCAGCCTCCACCCATCGCCTGCCAGGTCAGCAGCCAGTACCATCGAGGCAGGCCCTCCACCAGCAAAAAGTTGACTGACTGAGAGCTCAGATGACGGTTAGCGTTTTTTTAGCAACAAAGTATTTTTAAATTGAGGTATAAACACTGACTTTTGAGACATGATGCTATTGTACATTTAACAGACTACAGTACAGTATAAACGTTACTTTTACATGTACTGGGAAACCAAAAAGTTCATTTGATTCCTTTATTGCAATATTCACTTTATTGTGTTAGTCTGGATACCTGCAGTATCTCCGAGGTACACCTGTAATTATGGTTATGTAACTTTTATTCACTGTGAAACCGAGTTGTGTGACTGGACCCAGAGAGAAAGTGCCTATCTGTGCCTTGAGCAGGAGAATCTAACTTCCTTTGCTGCTGCTGAGTCATATTCTACGATTGTTTATGTTCACCATCACTCTTTATCGGATTCTTTTTTTTTGGTGATTTGCTAGAGACTTTCCATGGTGAGGAGAGGATACGTGTGTTATACGTAGATGCTCAGTATAGTATGTGCATGTAACATTTTTCTGCCACGTAAGGATCGGGGTGGTGATCTTTCCAAATTATCGAATGTCTAAAAATGTCTTACTGTCTCCTCATTTTATTGGTGGTCTGCCTGAGTATGGAATTCTAGGTTCACAGCGTCTCCCTCTTGAAGAAGACACCGTGTTGTTACCGTGATGAGGTGTTCTGTGGTGGGTGGCTGTGATTTCATCTCTTTTTGAGGCCACTAATTAGAATGTTTTAAAGCTGTCTTCTCTGATTTATCTGTTTCTTGTGGAGTCAGTGCTTTGTTCATCTTGGAACTTTTCCTTTAAATACAGGTAGTCCTTGGATATCCGTTTGTCGTGGATTTTTCCCTAAAAATAATACAGAATTATTAGTCCCTATTGAATGGTGATATTTTTGAGTACCGCTAGATCCTTGGTTGATCAGATTTTATATTTTTTCTTCTCCAGTAGCATTTTTATCGCGACTGGTTTGTAATATAACTTCATTGAATACTAAGACTAAAACCTCAAAACACTTCCGCCATTCTCAGTTAATATCCACTCCATAGCACCACCCACATCCGTTCTCTTACGGTTTATTTTTCCCCTGCCACCCCAATTCTTGTTGATTGTATTGCAGATTTAATGATGCTGAAAATACTACATTTATTATCTGAGAAGAATATTTTCCGGTAATGAGCTGTAAGTGTTTTTAAAAATAAAGGTTGGGGGCCCCTGGGTGGCTCAGTTGGTTAGGCGTCCGACTTCGGCTCAGGTCATGATCTCGCAGTCCGTGAGTTCGAGCCCCGCGTCGGGCTCTGTGCTGACAGATCAGAGCCTGGAGCCTGCTTCGGATTCTGTGTCTCCCTCTCTCCTGACCCTCCCCCACTTGCACCCTGTCTCTTCCTGTCTCTAAAAAATGAATAAACATTAAAAAATTTAAAAAAAAAATAAAGGTTGGTGTGGAGAAATAAACCTTTTTCATTTTGCACGAAGTGTCCTCTAGTGGCGCCATTGGGGCGGAGTCTGTAGGTCAACACTTAGCAATAGGAGGATCTCAATAGGCCTTTTGAAAGCAAGAGTCCAAAGTATTGCTCTGCAGTGTGGGTCAGGTTCAGGGTGAGCATCTGTTATGCTCAGTACTGAGAGCATTAGTCACGTCAGCTTTGCAGAGTTGGTACAAAATTTTTACCAGCTCGTAAAACTGTTTTACGACCAGAAGGAATTCCAGCAATAAAACAAACGAACTCCTAACAAATCAACTGGGCACGTAGCAATTTTCAGGTTCGGATATGCTTCCAGTGAGGAAAACTCCCGTGTCGTTGGTGACGAGCTTGTAGTGGTTTGGATTCGGTCATTCTGCTTTGAGTATTTGTAAATGGACACTAATTTTTCACAAATGTCTAGCCTGATACCCCACGTCAAGCCTTTGACTGTACTCTGTTTAGATACCATGAAATACTGGATGACCCCTGTATGAAAATGTCACTCCTTTTTTGGAGTGGCTTGAATTTTTCATATGTTGATTGGTTGATTATTTATTTGTTTATTTGTTTGTTTGTTTATTTATTTATTTATTTTTTTTCAACGTTTTTTATTTATTTTTGGGACAGAGAGAGACAGAGCATGAACGGGGGAGGGGCAGAGAGAGAGAGGGAGACACAGAATGGGAAGCAGGCTCCAGGCTCTGAGCCATCAGCCCAGAGCCTGACGCGGGGCTCGAACTCACGGACCGCGAGATCGTGACCTGGCTGAAGTCGGACGCTTAACCGACTGCGCCACCCAGGCGCCCCTGTTTGTTTGTTTATTATTGAGAGAGAGAGAGAGAGGATGAACAGTTGGGGAGAGGCAGAGAGAGAGGGAGACACAGAACCTGAAGCAGGCTTCAGGCCCTGAGCTGTCAGCACAGAGCCCGACGCGGGGCTCGAACTCAACAACAGTGAGAGCGTGACCTGAGCCGACATCGGACACTTCACCTGCTGAGCCACCCAGGCGCCCCTCATGTGTTGATCTTCTTTATTTTTGTGATCAGTGTTCATAAAAGTGGTAGCAGTTGGCAGTATTTCCTACTCCGAATTTAAACTTCTTTTAAATTTTTTTTTTTTCAACGTTTATTTATTTTTGGGACAGAGAGAGACAGAGCATGAACGGGGGAGGGGCAGAGAGAGAGGGAGACACAGAATCGGAAACAGGCTCTAGGCTCTGAGCCATCAGCCCAGAGCCCGACGCGGGGCTCGGACTCACGGACCGCGAGATCGTGACCTGGCTGAAGTCGGACGCTTAACCGACTGCGCCACCCAGGCGCCCCTAAACTTCTTTTATTATGGGAAATTTCAGGCATAAAGAAGTAGACACTGGGATGATGAACCCCAGTTGAATCACCTGTCAAATCCTGGCCAGTCTACTTCATTTTTATCCCCCTGTTCCCCAAAAGGATTATTTTGAGGCAAATGCAAGACATTTGTGGTTTTAGTTGTAAATGCTCCTGTATATACTTTAAGAAGATAAAGACTTTCTTTAAAAACATAGCCATAATGACATTATGACATTGAAAAACTAACAGCAAAGTTCTCAGTGTCGTGCAATATTCAGTCATGGTTTATTTATTTACTTTACTTAAAAAAAAAAATATTTAGTTTTGAGAGGGAGAGAACATGCGAGTGGAGGAAGGGCAGAGAGGGAGAGAGAGAGTCCCAAGCGGTCTCTGTGCTGTCAGCCCAGAGCCCATCAAGGGGCTTAACTCACGAACCGGTGAGATCATGACCTGAGGCCAAATCAAGTGTTGAGCCACCTGGGTGCCCCTCAGTCATGGTTTAAATTTCCTTTTTGGTGGTGTATTCAGTTGTTTTACAGGAGCTCAAGCCAAGTCTGCATGCGGTGTTTGGGCTGCGCTCATCCTAAATCTTTTGCCCTGGAGGCTCCACCTCCCTCCCCACCCCCCTTTTCAGTTCCTTTGTTGAAGGAACCCGGCCAATTTGCCCTGTCCTGCTTGCACTATTTTAACTTAGTTCGAGTGTTTTCCTTACTGGACAAATACAGCTTTTGACAAATCATTATCATACTGTTGGTCCAGTATATTTTGTGGGAAATAGAGCTATTTGGGGTTTATAAATTGTTGTAAAAAATGTGATATTTCTTATTTTATTTGAAGTGTTTTTTGTTTTGTTTTGTTTTTGTTTTTTACTGTTGTGAAGTACGTTTTTCATCAGTGGCTGACGTGGCTATGATCCTGAGTGTGAGCCGGGTGTTGGGTTAGCCATGACCGAGGTTGGTGGTTAATGTTCCCAGTGGTGATGCAGGGGCTGGGGTGGGGCGGTGGGGTGGCAGGGTGGGCATCGATGGCCTCTCTTCTCAGCCTTGTGGACGTTCTTGTGGACTCCTGAGTGTGGCTGCAAGGATGCCTCTCCTCCCCCAGCCTGCAGGTCTGATTCCCCTCCCCCAGTGTTTCCCCCGTAGGGCATCTTAATGAACCCCAAGTATTTAAAGGGTTGATTCATGTTTAGCTAAAATCCTTCCCTTTTCCCCATACTTTACATCGACTTGTTCAGTTTTTTCCTATTAGTTTCTTTTTTTTTTTTTTAGGTTTATTTATTTTGAGAGAGAGCATGCGTGCCTGCATGAGCACGATGGGGGGGGGGAGGGGCAGAGAGCGAGGGAGAGAGAGAATCCTAAGCACGTAGTCTGATTCAGGGCTCCATTTCAGGAACTGTGAGATCATGACCTGAGCCGAAACCAAGAGTTGGATGCTTAACCGACTGAGCCACCCAGAGGCCCTTTTCCTATTAGTTTCTTACAACGCTTTATATTAGAGAAATTAACAACCCCTTTTCTTATATATGTTTTTCTTTGCCTTTTGTGAGCACTTGCCCGTGTTTTGTTCTGAGTTTATGACTACAAGGTGAAGTATAGGGTGCTGGGGTCTGAGCTCTCAAGTGCTGTCCTCCTTTCTAGCTGGATGTCTCCCCTTCTTGGGATGGGTGTCCCCCTACTTCCTGTGCTGGAGAGAATGCTGCGTGGCCCTGGGGTGGCAAGGCAGGGCCTTTGGTTTTCATGGAGTCTGGGTGTGTGAGAACCTCCAGGAGCACGCGGTTCCCCATCCCCAGGGGTGGCATGTGTCTGGCTGGAGTGCCTCCGGGTTGGGGAGAGGGGGCACCTCCAGTGCCTGGGGGTTCAGGGTAGTGAACACGGACCTGCGTGCAGGATGTGGGTGAGTGGGCCCTGGGGATGCAGTGGTCGGGGGTGGTGAGAGCAAGGACTCTGAACCGTCATCTCAGGCGCTCTGGTTCTGTAACTGAACTTGTGAAAAGTTAGCTCCCTGTACTGGGCGTCTGTGGGTGATGCTGTGCTCTTACTGGTCCCTGCAGTCCAGCTCCCAGAGACCTGGTGGGGTGGGCTGTCCAAAAAACACCTGTAGTGTGGCTGAGCAGGGCTGTGCTGGTGGCGGTGGGGGGGGGGGGGGGGGGGGGGGGGGGGGGCAGCAGCGGCCAGGCGAGCGCTGAGGCCAGGCTCTGAGTGCAGGTGTGGGTACGTATTCAGTTCGCTCAGAAGCACCAGAGATTCTGGAAAAGTGTGGTTGTGATCAGATATTGTAGTAGAATTCACTTTCACTGAAGGACTGGTTTAAGGAGAATGCAGTTTTGACCAATCCTTTATCATGCAGATGCAGACTGCACAAAGCCAGGCATCCTTTTTTGAAGTGTTAAACTTTTGCCAGCCTTCCAATAAAGTTTTACTGATTTACAGAAAGCTTCTGTCATTTGCCTTGTTTTTAGTGTGTTTCATCTCTGGCTTACCAGAGGCTTACCAAAGGCCACATGGAACCAGAGTAATTCTTTAAAAAGTCTTGGATAAAAGCAGCTTTCTTCCTATTTATTTATTCTGGGGACAGTGAGTTAAAAGATTCAGGAGGACATCTACCCTTTCTTCTCTACTAAGTGTCTCGATTATAGTCCTATGTGTCTTATTTCTTTTATGCCCTCATTTTTATATTACTGAAAAAGTATCAAGCACAGAGGGTTTGTTTTTTATTTTATTTTGACGCTTATTTATTTTTGAGAGACAGAGATAGAGCAGAAGTGGGGGAGGGGCAGAGAGAGAGGGAGACACAGAATCCAAAGCAGGCTCCAGGCTCTGAGCTGGTAGCACAGAGTCTGACATGGGGCTCGAACTCATGAACCGGGAGATCATGACCTGAGCCGAAGTCAGGCACTTAACCGACTGAGCCACCCAGGCTCCCCTTGTTTTCTTATTTTAAAAATGTATCTTAGAAATGCTTGGGTTCAGTTGGATAATGTGACATACCATGTAATGTAGGTAATGTGGCATCCAGCCTGACAGATGTAATTGTTGATGTTTAATTAGCATTTACATTTTTTTTTTAACGTTTATTTATTTTTGAGACAGAGAGAGACAGAGCATGAACGGGGGAGGGTCAGAGAGAGAGGGAGACACAGAATCTGAAACAGGCTCCAGGCTCTGAGCAGTGAGCACAGAGCCTGACGCAGGGCTCGAACCCGCAGACTGAGATCATGACCTGAGCTGAAGTCGGACGCTTAACCGACTGAGCCACCCAGGCGCCCCCAAGTAATTAGCATTTGAAACAAGGGAAGCCATTTTTATCACATCTAAAGTATTACTGTTCAAACTGTTCAAACAATTTTTATAAGCCTCTTTTTAGGGGAAAAAACCCCCACACAAGCAGGTTCTTCTACACGTTTAGAAGCATTTTGATGAAGCACTGTTTCCACCTTAGCCTTGTTGCCTTGGTCAAGGGCTTTGGAACAATGTGCCTGGAGCACCCAGAAGCATGAGCTTTGAGACTACAGTGGGTGACAGCTGGTGGAAGGTGGTAGCTGGCCCTGGAATAGGGAGTGAGGCTAGGCAGAGAAGCTGGCCTTTCTTCATGGCTCCTTTTTGGAAGGAAACAGGGTATCACTTTGTTTTTAATGGTTTTTTTCTTTGTCTTTTTGAGACAGAGAGAGCTAGCGAGCACAGGAGGGGCAGAGACAGAGGGAGACATGGAATCCGTAGCAGGCTTCAGACTCTGAGCTGTCAGCACAGAGCCTGATGCGGGGCTCGAACTCATGAACCATGAGATCATGACCTGAACCCGAGTCGGGCGCTTAACCAACTGAGCCACCCAGGCGCCCCAGGGTATCACTCTTGAGAGCAGCCTGCTGGGTTCTTTCCCCTGGTTCAGAAGCAGTGGCCTGGAAAGTCAGCGAACTGCTTACTGGAATTGCTGGATGCGTTGCCCTTTTGAATCTTCCTTGCCTGCTTGTTTTCATGTCTGGCCACTGGAAACTGAGGACCAGGTTCTAGAAGATTCATGTAATTTTTGTAGACAGTCTTTTCCCTTCCAGAGACTTCTATTCCTCATAAAAATACAGAGCTAGTGGCTAAAGAAAGTAAAATCTAGAATGGATTTTAGGTAAAGGGAAGATTACCTGTAAAAAGGATTACTCTTAACCTTTTTTTTTTTTTCCCTTTACACCATAGTATTCCTGGTATATTGACCATTCAGTTCAGAGTGATCAGTGATTGCCACGTGGACTTGGATCGTTGAATATTTAGCTCTGGGTGGCTGTTGTGGACATTGGAGAAAATGGTTTTTATACAGAAGGTTTACAAGCTTACGTAGGACTCTTCTGGTCTCAGGATGTATGCTAGAATTTTTAAAAAAACATATCTCTGGCATTAATTTGTTTTTCTAGTGTTTTCCAGTCCAGTGAATTTAAATACAGTCCTTTAAAACAAGAATTCCATATATAGTACTCAGATGAAAGAGTGCTCCGTATGTAAAGGTCATGAGCATGCAGTTATAAGGAAGGGCTTAGATGACGTCGGAGGAGGGTGGGGCTGGGAGGTCAGGGGTTCTTACTCAGTATCCTTAGGGCCAGGCAGGGAGTGTCCCTTCCGCTAAGTGCTGGTGAAAGCAAGTGATGGCGACAGGGGCGGGAAGGACTGGAGCAAATGGTAGGCAGCACGGTAGTGGTGGTTTCCGGGCAAGGCCCCGAAGAGGGAAGGCCTGTGTCCTGGGAGAGCCCCAGAGGTGTGGGGTGAGGGACCAGGTGCTGTCTGCCTGAGCACAGGCTAACACCTGAGGCTGCTGGCACTGCAGACGGCTGTCTGTCTGTCCCTGTTTGTTTCTGTGGGAAAGAGAATGGGGGTGAGAAGGGGAGCAGTGAGTTTTCCTGTGATGAGCCGAAGATCACAACACGATTCTGACGGCTCTGTGTATTGATGCAGTGAGCACTGTGCTCATGGTTCACGTCCACAGTCTCATTTCATTCTCCCAGTGGCCCTCAGTCCAGGGTTCTCTCTCATTTCCTGGAGGCTAGACTGGAGCTCAGATGAACTGTCTTGTAACGCCAGTGGGGTGGCCGAGTCTAACTCAGGTGCCTGCTCCCAGCCACTGTGTTTGTTGCTTCGTTTCAGTAACTTCTTTAAATATTCTTCATACCATTTTTTAAATTTTTATTTATTTTGAGAGAGTGAGCAGGTGAGGGGCAGAGAGAAAGAATCCCAAGCAGAGTCCACACTGTCAGTGCAGAGCCCATTGCAGGGCTCGATCTTATGACCCTCAGATCAAGACCTGAGCCGAAATCAAGAGCTTAACTGACTGAGCCACCCAGCACCCCACTAAATGTTCTTAAAACCTCTTAAATAAATGAATCATGTACCCAAGTAGGCTCTGTGGTGACCCCACCCCCCACCCCCAGGCATAACCCCTTCTTCTAGTAGTAGCCACTGCTGTGACCAGTATCACAGGTTAGTTATGCCTGTTTTTCAAAAAGTTTATTATTGTTTTAAGTGTGCAGAGAAGTGATTCTGATATCACAGATTTGTACAACCATTACCACTATCTAATTCTACAACATTTTCACCACCCGTGAAAGAAACCCTACACCCATTAGTAGCCACCATTCCCCTCCCCCAGCCCCTGACATCCTACTTTATGTCTCCATGGATTTGCCTATTCTGGACATTTCATATAAATGCAGTCATAAAATATTTGGCCTTTGTGATGGCTTCTTCATTTAGCAAAATGTTTTTAAGCTTTATCCATGTCATAGTATGTATCGGTATTTTCTTAATAGTACTTCATCGTGTGGATAGACAACATTTTGTTTATCTGTTCATCAGTTGATAGGCAGTTGGGTGGTATCTCATTTTTGGCTGCTGTGAATAATGCTGTGAATATTTGTATGCAAGTTTTTGTGTAGACATATTTTCATTTCTGTTGAGTAGATAAGTAGGAATGGAATTGCTGGGTTTGGGGATAAACTCCATGTTTAGCATTTTGTGCAACTACAAGACTGTTTTCCAAAGTGAGCACATCATTGTACAGTCCTTTTAGCAGTGTAGGAGGGTTTCTGTTTTTCCACATCCAGCCAACACTTGTTACTGTTTTTTCTTTTTTATTCTAGCCATGCAAGTGGGTGTGAAGTAACCCATTGTGATTTTGATGTGTATTTCCCTGATGGCTAATCATGTTGAGCATCTTTTCATGTGTTTATTAGACATTTGTGTATCTTCTTTGGAGAAATGTCTGTTCACATCCTTTGCCCATTTTTAAGTTGGCTGATTTGTCTTTTTATTGGTGAGTCGTAACAGTGTTTTGGTATATTTTGGATATAAGTTCCTTATCAGACATACAAATTTGTGCATGCTTGAAAATTTGCACATATTGTCTCCATTCTATAGTTTGTCATTTCATTTTCATTGGTGTCCTTTGAAGTACAAACATTTTTAGTTTTGCTGAAGTCCAATTTATGTTTAGAAATTTTCTTGCTTGGGTTTTGGTTTCATGTTTCAGAAACTTGCCTAGTCCAGGGTCACAGAGATTTATTTGCGTGCTTTCTTCTAAGGGTTTTATGGTTTTAGCTCTTTTTAGGTCTTTGATCCTTTCTGGGTTACTTTTTGTGTATGGTGTGAGGTAGAGGCTCATATCTATTCTTTTGCATGCGAGTATTAAAGAGTTTGTTAAAGAGACTGTTTTTTCCTCATGAATTGTCTTGGAGTTGTGTCTGTTTCAGAGTTTCAGACAGTGGAATCACATAGGATTGTGTGTCTGCTCTCTTTAGCTTCACGCTGTATCTTTGACATTCATCAGTGTTGGGTGCAGCAGTTCCTTCTTTTTTTGTTGGTATGTGTGCCCATTGCACCAATACTGCACATTTGTCTGCTCTCCTGGGCATTGGGTTGTTAGCGCTTATGGCGGTTTGAATTAAGCTGCTCTGAACATTCTTGTGTCTTTTTGGTAGACATAGCTGGATCACAGGGTGTGCACGTATGGGAGCTCAAGAGATAACAAATACAAATGGGGAGAATGTAAGGATGATAAATAATCTGTTAGAAGGGTATGGAAGGATTGTTTACTCTGATTACCAGCTTTTAAAGAATTTGCGTGATACGCTTCACCTTTAACCAGAACGATACTGGCTACCAGTGACTGTTCGTGCCGCAGAAGATGTACTGACCATGAAAGCAGGAGCAGCTGTTACCTTACCGTGCGGAAGGAAAGCCAGACTTCTCTGATTTGCAGCAGTGGCACACACAGAAAATCTGATAATATACTCCGCCTGGAGGATTCTGTTAAGAACACTAAGAAAAATAAGGGGAGTTCTCTTTTCCTCTCATTTTAAAATTGGAAAATTTGTTCTGAGAAATATGAATAATCATATATGTGAGAAATAAAGACAAAAAGAGAATAAAAATACCAGCCATTTATATGAACTTGGGCTTTGTGTTTTCTTAGCTTACTTTATCAAAAGCAGGTAATGATCTCTATCCTGCAGGTTTTAGAGATTGTTTTATGACATCCGTGACGCGTATGAAAACGTTAAGCAAGGGGTGGCTGCCGTTAGCAATGGAGTGGATTTAATATTTTATCAAATATTTGGGGTGGAAGAAAGAGTAAAAGACAAATTTACTCAGCCAGGATCTCACTTAAATAGGACCGTGGCGTAAGTTTGAATGAATGGTAACGGAAGGTTGGTGGATATTGTCTGGTGGCTGAAAATTCCCTCAAATGACTGATTACTGAAATTCGGTCACCTTTATTTTGAATGTGTTGATTTGCTGACGGACGCTCTGCAGACTTCCCACTTTGTGATTTTACTCTCCCCACTGCTTGACTCTCAGCTGCAGTGTCCTTCCTGTATACCATGTTGTTAGTGTCCTTTGTCTCGAGCCCTGTGACTGTGTCTTCAGGAAATGTGCCAGCCAGGCTCGAGCACGAGATGAGAACCAGGAGGAGCAGGTTAGGACCTACTCTGACAGACTGGTGGCAGGAACTTTGGAGCCCCTCTTCTTCCCTTCCCTTCCACCACACAGAGGTGGTGTAGACACGCCCCCTTCTGGGTTCCCGTCCTTGCCCTTGCCGTTACTCCTGCCCTGCTTCCTGCCCCGCTGGTCACAGCCCAGTTGTAAGTGTCTGCGCAGGATGGCTCTGGCCTTGTGCTGGGTAGGGGGGAGGAGTCCGTCCTTGGTTGTCCATCCCCCGGCCCCTTCCTCGTCCTGGTGAGGGCCGGATGACCTGTGGGGCACCACCGTCTGTAGCCATAGAATGCTGAAGGTGAACTTTGTCAGTTATGATGATTCCTGGCTGCCTAGTTAACAAAGTAAGATTTGGGATTACAAAACCATCTTTAGAGCGGCTGTGATACTTACTGCTGAGCTAACAGACTGCACACTGTGATTGTAGGTGGCCTTACATACCTCTCTTTGGCACACTGTGAAGTCTTTATTATAATGTGTATGTGTGTATATACACACACACATATATACTTATAATCTCAGGTGTTGACTTGATAAAGCAGTATGTATGTTCCTAACTTTATTTTCTTTAGCAATATTAAAATTTTTTACTCAGAATTCAATAAAGATCAAGAAAAAAAAGAAAAGCCAGTGAGTAAAATCATTAATTTCTACCAAAAATAAAATAAAATGACCACAGAGCACTGGTGCGGGTGCGTGTGGTCGGAGCCCCGTGCGGGTGAGAGGGCAGTCCCGGGAGACACCGCTGAGGTCCCGGCACCGGCCTTGGAAAATGGAGTGTCGTTAACATTCATTGTAAGGAAATGGCTGTATTCTGTGGATTGCTGGTTGAAGCTTGAGACATTTAATTGATAACCCCGGGATTATGGTTTGCTGTTACCATCTAAACCAGTGAAAACGAGCTTTTTGTTGATAACATCTGTGATGTCAGTAACACAGACTCCTCTCCATCCCCGCCCCCATCCACGAGCCTGATGGGTTAGTTGATCAGTGAGATGTTAGCAGTTTCAGAACGGATCACCTTTACCTCTACCAAGATGAGTAGTCTTTTGTTTTTTGTTTGGTGAAAATGATTTCAGGCATCTAGTCCGTGCATTTTTTTTGTTTAGCAGTGAAACTCTTCAGAATGGTGCGTTCGTTCTCCCTGTGTTCACTACCGCCTCTCCCGTTCTCAAACTCACTGTAATCAGGCTTTTGTCCCTCAGCGTTCCCTGAGCTACTGCTGTGTCAGGGCCACCGTGATGTCCACATGGCAAAAAACAGTAGTTAATTCCCAGCTTGTCGCGCGTCTCGATCTGGTTCCTCCTCGAGGCTCCCGGCTGGTTCCTTCTCTTCCCCCCCAGCCTCCTGATCTCCAAAGGGCCCGTCCTCACGTCCCCTCCTCTGTCTCTGCTAACCCTCAGGGATCTCATCCACGCCTGTGACTCTGATGCCAGCTGTACACCGAGTACCCACATTCACAGCTCACGGCCAGGCTCCGGTGTCCCGCCGCCTCCCGGCAGACAGGTGCAGCTCACCCCACAGTCCGCTCCATCCCCCCGCCATCTCACTCACTGGCGGCTCCCAGCAAACACCCCAACACCTCGGATAATTCGGATAATGTGCACACTGCATATGCAGCCGTGCATGAAATCCTGTGGGCTCCACCTTCAAACTGGAGTCAGAATCCAGCCCCACCAACTTTGCAGCTTCTGTCCAGACCGCCGGCTCTGTATAAACTCTCCTTCCTTACTCTACAACATTCCCAGTTTCCCTGCCCTTTTTCCTTTTTTCTGAAGGATTTACTGTTTTCCACATAACTGCCTGTTCTTCATACGTATGAGGAAGGTAGGGATTTTTGTTCCCAGACCTAGCCATGCTGCCTAGAACAGTTCCTGGCAAACAGAAGGTGCTTAATAAGTTATTTGTTTAATTGATCCTGATATATTTTAGAACTTGTAGATAAAACCTTTTGGGTTCTTACCGGTTAGGTAGTGGTCATTACGTCAGGGACAACAAGCATTTTTATGCAGTACTGTGGTTTACGAAATGCTTTCACGTGTTAACCTCATGTCTTCATTTATTCAGTCAACACAGACTTCAGTCAGCGTAACCTCCCCCCTATGGGATCCTGGGGTCCTCGCTGTGGCTTCCGAGTGAGATAAACGAGCCAGGTCTGTGTTCACGCTGGCCCCCCTCACTTGCTCAGCCAGCTCCTTCTGCCCCTGCAGGTTCTTCCAGATGGAGACAGCTGGTCCCCTCCTCCATACCTTTGCTCACACCGCCCCTCTCAGGCTCATGGCTGCGCGCTCTCACACACACGGGTGCTCCTGTGTCTAATACAAAAGCAGGACTTCAAGGATGATTTAACTTTGACTCGTTTTTCCCTCTGTCTTCCACAACCCCCTTCAAAAAATACATTGTCATGTTTTCTCCCTTGTGCCCTCACAGCTGGTTTCTTTTCTTTGTTTTCTCTTTTACTCATACAGCTTGTTCCTTAAAAGTCTTTGTAGCCCTCCCCTTGCTTCCCCATGTGCCGTGTTCAGTGTGTTTCTGTCCCTGCTCTCTGCTAAGCCCAGAGGACCCCGAACGACAGGGACGTGGCCTCGGGAGGTGGCCCCGCGGAGGGGGTCCGGTCGCAGTCAGGCTTTCCTTAATAAATAGGGTTTGAATTGAATTTGGGCCGGAGGTCTGCATTGCTCAGATCTTGCAGGGCGTGTCTGAGATGGATAAGAAGCAGGTCCTTATCTAGGACTGAGAACTCTGGGACAAAGCCAGAGGGTCACCGCGCCATGATGCTGTTTACGGCAAAGGTGCGTGGTCAGCTGGTAGGTGCCCGTGACCAGCAGCGGTCCACATGGCTGAAGCGGAGGCCTGCAGCCGGCCTCAACCTCCGCTCACCTAGCTGGGTCTTTTGAATTCACCCTCCTGGTGAATAGTTCAGATGTTAAAGCAAAATACCTTCAGATCTGTGGCATTTGACGATGGTCGCAGGTAAAGGAAGGGTGTGGAGGACTTAGAGCTCGAAGAAAAACTATAGAGGTGGTTGGAAGGCCCTAGGGGGCTGAACAGGACAGAAAGGAACGAGAAGCTGTGCCCGTTCCTGGCGAGGATGAGACGCAGTTTCCCCAAATCTTTGCACTCCATGGTTGGGTTCTTCACCAGCACCTGAGTGAAAGAAACAGACGAGCCACCGCATTAAATTACTATTTTTCTGACTTAAGTTTTGGGGTGGGGTACGTCAGAGGGTAACAGAAACCTGAAACATTTCTTCTGTCCGTGTCAGTTCGCGTAATCCCAGAGCGAGGAGGTGGCTTAAGGGTCCTTAGGGAGGGGCACTGGGGGGTCGCTTCCGACCAGGCCTCCACTCCATTATCTCAGGCTGCCAGAGGGCGGAACAGCTGCCCCACCGGGACTCAGGACCCTGACCCTAGTGCCCTGAAAAGACACAGACTGGACCTGCCATCAGCCCTGGGTTCAAGGCCTGCAATCAGGGGCACAGATCCAGAGTTTCTCGCAAGACGAGGATAATGCCACCTCCCACCTGGCAGGGTTGCTGGGTCGGGTGGGCAGCAGTAACATGCATTTGGTGCAAACTCACAGCCATTTTGTGGCCACTCAGATGCTGTGGGTGGCTTCATAGCAGGTGCACCAGGAAATGCTCTAAATTAATGGCTGACTGTTTGACATGCACGCACTGTGCCCTGTACCTGTTTTATTGAGATGAAGCCAAACAAACAAAATAGCTAGAACTCCTATGTTAAACATTCTACTTAACCACAGGAAAAAAAAAAAAAATGAATCCTTCGGAAGGGTTTTGTCCCATTTCGCCCCAAAGGTGGTAACCTGACTGTGCCCTTTCAAGCATGTCTTCAGCTCCTGCACTGCAGTTAATGACGAGCCTTTGAACAGGTTTGTGGAGCAGCCCCGTCCGGCCTGGCGGGTGTCTGTCACAGGCTATGCCCGAGGCAGAATTTCCTTTCCCCTCATGTTTTGCACTTATAAAGACATCCTCAATCTGGGTGTCACCGAAGAAAAGGCGCAGGTCAGGTGGGAATGTGAAGGTCACCGAAACATTCGAGTGCACTTCGCCGCCTGGCGGAGAGTTCCTTGACGGGGAGTCCGGAGACACGCGGCTTCAGTCTGGGATCAGAGGTGCCTCATCCACCGGGGGCGGGGCGGTCCTGAGTGCAGACTGTCTGGGGTGGTTTGGACTCTGCAGGCAAACTTTTCCTTCTCCCCTAATCTAGCATGTCCAGGAGCCTCTGCCTGGGGCAGCCCTGACGTTTAAGGTGTGCTCCTCAAAATAGACCACCCTCTAGGGCTGTATAGGGCCCCTTTTGGCACTTGGTTTACAAGGCTGCTTAGTGGCAATTATTGGGTACTATTTAGGTGTCATCCATCTGTAATCGGCCTGGCGAAACTGTTTTGTAACAAGTCTTTATCTTCTTGGTAATTTTGCTGGATTCTAGGATCAT